TATCGGCTATAAAATATCAAATTTTAACAAAACTTCTCTGCATTTGGTGCACTCTTATAAAAAATCAAAAAAACTAGAGAGCTAAGAATTCAAATATAAAAGCAATCGAATCCACGATAGTGAAATCAAGGATTGTGCTGAAATGTCGTGTTTCATTGATGAACAGCGCAAGGTCTCTCTTTGTTGTGTTAATTGATTTAGTAATATTGGAGGAAAAGCACTTAAAGACGACATGGCCGAAAGATGTTAAGGAATATTAAAGAAAAAATAGTAGAAGACAAGATGACCTGAAGAAACTCTCAAATGCACATAAATGACGCCGATACCTCGGTACAATGTTTAAGAACATTAACGAGTTCAACAACGCGATAATTAATGTATAGAGCAAAGAATGTGAGATTACTATGACCTTACAGCCTAGGTTAGACAGAACTGGAATTAGAACGCTTTTCGTGGTTTACTATATCAGCAATAACTACACTTACCAATATTTCAAGGGTGGCATAAACCGACAAGTAAATTATGTAGGTGTTTTCTTAATGAAGATGAGATGGAATTTATCAATAACTACTATTTTTTTTTTTTTTTGGTAGTTTTTTTGAGTTTCTTAGTGTTTTGGATTGATTGTGTATTAATTAGTGAATTGTACGTTAACTTAAACCTACTCAGTAAATATATGTTTTTACTTTTGTGTATATATTTTTTTGCTAAATTTTTTTCTTTATAAATGCGACATGCTTTTTGCTCTCGCACCTCCATCTAAAATTCAGGCCAATACCTGCATTCATAAATTTACGTTCGACTGTCAATAGATTCTCCACATACCCACACATTTCCTCTAAAAACTCATTATATCTAATGAATTTTCATTTTCCTCTGCGAAGCGGTAGCAATTTAGCAGTTTAGCAATTTATCGAGTTATTGCCAATATTTTCTCGAAACTGCAGTTAAATATTTATTTCTCACTTGAGTGTTAATAACTTCATGATGCAGTTGTCAATCACTGGTTTGCAAATAAATAAATAAGTAGTACATATTTATATTTAAGACACAAAAGTGGATACCACGCTATTTGCTGAATAATTCTGTAAAAAATAAATAATAAATATCATTTCTTTTTAATGTTTAACTATTTATTCATTTATACTTTTATTTGCTATGTCATTAGACTATTTAGTCAACTCATGTAAATTTCTATCCATTTGGACTTTTCTTTTAAGATTAAACTTGAAGTTTTTTTGAAAAATATTGCCAAGTAAAATCATTTCCTTATAGCAATTGTGGAAAATCGTAATATATATGTGAAATTATAAGCAAAAAAAAAAGTAAAAGATATTATATATAATAAAAAGGTGATGTTTATTTTAGTTTTATACTTCATTTATGCTCTTAACAGTTTCAAATAAAAAACAAAAACCTGATATCATCCTTACTAAGCAAAACATTATTTGAACTTTCATTACTGACACAGAAAGTCATGAAAAATGAAAACGATATATTTTCCAGATAAATTTGCGGTCGTGGTTAATGGGAAATCGTTTTATTAATGCTAGTTATAAATCTTTATATGAATTTGTTTTTTACCGGATTTAATGTCGTTACTTCGTTTATATTACGTTAAATATGATCAGATTTATTTGAATAAAAACACTAATTTTATTTTCTTTTTCTTATGTTATTTAAAGTAGTATAAACAAAAAAAAATCGACCTTTAACCCATTAACCTATATAACCTATTAAAAAAGCAATTCAATTAAGTAAACAAAGTCGATACCAATATTTATAATTATATGAATCTTATTAATATATATTAACATTGCATTTAATGTTAATATATATATAAATTTTATATGTGTTAAAAAGTATGAAACAAACACAACACAAAAAGTAAAATAAACAAAAAAAGACTTCTAGAGTCAAGGAACAAGGAATGAAGAATTTTAGAATATAATATAATTCTTCGCTTATAATAGACATAATAAATTCACGAATACGTCTTCAATTATCTAGAAAAACAAATTATTAGAAGGGGTACATCTTACAACCAAAAGCGCGGGGATAATTTATTTAATTTAACAGAACCAAAGGTGATCTACATGAAGACTGCATCACTTCGCCCTTAAAAACAACAACAAACGACATAGGTAAGACTGCACTTCAATAAATCCCTTTTTTCTTGATATGATATGCTTCAACTTACTATTATTTATCAAAGATTGGAATAAAAGCCACTCACACCTATATAATCGGTAAAATTTAAAATTAAGCTTCCGACTCGGCAGAGTAAAACATGTTTTAAACTCCGCAATTACGAGAAAATAAGTCCAGTATCTCTATTCGATTTTTCTTCAATCGAATGTGGTTTGGGCTCCTGAATTAAGAGATATTGTTAAATAACTCGTGATCTTATATTTTCTAGGTAAGTTTAGAAGACTCTTTTTGGAGGTAGCATAATATATGTCAAAGGTCGTAAGGTTCAAATAATAAAAATAATAGTGCAGAGCACGTGTTTAATGCCGTTGGTATAAAGGTGTAAAAAAGAATAACAGATAATAAATCAAATTAATTAAGTGTATGTTTAAATCATGTTATATGTAATAAACTACATACTTCCAGCTTCAGTGCCTATGCATGATATTAAAATCATTAAAGTTACTACAGAATTAAAAAGACTCTGAACAGAAAAAAAGAAATACTGAAAAGTTTTCCTCTTTTTATTATTCGTAGGATAATATATATATATATACGCGAACAAAATTATGTATTAAGACAAATATTAAATGATATTTTATAGATACAATTGAAATTAAATCAAATATATAATATTGCATTTTTCTCTCCACTGAAGTAATCAGATCGCCCAAGCCATACCCTTGCAAGTAAAAACTACAATAATTTAGTAATCTACTTATGAGCCCAATAATATTAGAGAGTTACGTACTAGTATAAGTTGTTGCATATAACTAGAATAACTACATTTAAGGTTCATTGGTAATAAGTCAAAAAATAAGTCAAAAAACTTAAATACAAAATATTTAGAAATAATCATTATTTTAAATTATATAATGTATTAATTTAATAAATTAATTAAAATCAAAAGACATAATCAATAAATTCATTTAATCACATTTTTAATTTTGTACGATAATGAACAAAACATCAATGATAAATAATTTTTCACTCTTTTAAAATAAATAATGTTTTTAATTTATTTTAAACATTGTCAAAAATGTCCAAATTTTTTTTATTCCTTAGCCTCGAGACTCTATGGAACCTAACATATTTTATTAACCATTCTACTTGAAGAATTTAATTTAAATATTAAAAATATTTTACCCAGACTTTTAAACTCATGGTTGTTAAGATTACAAGAAGTGCCGCGCTCAGCAAGACAATAAATACCTTATATCTATTCATATATTGTATTTTGAATGTATTTTTATTGTCAATGACCTAATAATTTTCCACAAATGAAAACAAATGATTTGGAGGTAATGGATGGGACTTATTATTAGTAAAATTCTGCTTGTATGCAAGAAATTTGATATGGTCGTGAAAATGGAGGTTCAATTTTAATTGATTATTTTTTGCAATTGAAAAATGTCAATTAAAAAAAAACATTTTAGGTTAGTACTTGAGTTAACCTTCTGCTTATTCCTTATTAGCAGACAAGTTCATTCCAAGCACAGATGAAATTACAAGTCTCCAAAAATTTGTTAAGTAATTTAAAATTAAAAGATAACTTTGGAAACAATATTAAGAGTTATTTTCTTCTCTTTGGATAGAATTTAAAAATGAAATAGATTTTTTCTATAAGTGAATTAGAAAAAATTTTAGATTCTCATTATCTTTCTTTAAGAGCTGACTTAGTGATGTCGCGGGCCACATAAATATTAGCCGTTGGCGGTATGAGGTCCGAGAATCATGTTTTGGACTGTCTACTCTTAGGTGGGACATCGAGTCTATAAGTAGCTTTCGTGAAATTAATCATAGACTTTCTCTTAAACTAAACAAAATTTTTGGCTAAGATTAAATTTATTTTTTTTTAATTGGTGAATAAAATAAATTAAGTAATTAAAGAGGTAAACTTACAATTACTGTGAATATTTCTTTTTGAAGTCAAACAACAATTGCCTTAAATTAATTAAATTTAATTTAACTTAATTTATATACTGACAAGATTAGATAAAAAAATTAAAAAATTAATAACATATTATTCATGGTTTAATGGTTGTCATATATATTCCAAAAGTGAAAGATCTAAAAAAGTAATTGAATTGACAAATAACATTTAAAAATAAAAGATACTACAAATTAACCAGCAGTTGCTGTTTAACCAAATTACATGGAAAACAAAAGAGAAAAAAAAATTAATGATAGTACATGATAGATACATAAAAATTTGACTTCACTCGATAAAAAAATACATAAAAATTTAGACATAAAAAAGCACGGGTAGCCAAAGTAGATACACTTTCACCTTCAACACCTTCGCATCTATTTTAATTGCGACTGATGGCAGAGGTACCTGCCTATCTGCGCAGTTAAATTGTAATTAGACTACTGTTATATACAAAATGCTTATACGTGAAAGAAATAAATAAATATAAAATATAAATATAAAATAAAAAAAAATTATATATGAAAAAACGTGAAGTGCAGCGGTAAATCACAAAAAGCAAAGATCAAAGTTTTTGCAGGTCAGAAAAGTTGTTAACTTTAAGTTAAGATTTAAGACCTAAAGCTGCGAAGACATGAAATATGGCAGCACCCGGCGAACGCCAAAATGCCACACAACATCAACAAATATATTAGCATTGATTTGTTGAAGTGATTAATGGCTTTTGATTTTATGGTGTATTTAATATATAATCATCCAATAGCGATCTTACTCGCTACTTAAAAATAATTTTTTTTTATGTATTATTTTCATCGAATATCTATATAAATATGTAAGAATTGAAATAATTTATTTATTATCATTTCCTTATTTTTTGCAGAATATTATTATTCACATCAACTGCTTTACTACTCACGCCGAGCTGCGCAAATGCACAGTTTCATCATTTTGGTGAACAGGTGAACACCCATTTGGGTTCGGAATGTGCACTTTTACTGGCCGGTCCTGGTCGTTCGTCGGTCTACGACTACAATGTGAATCTGTTCCGTGGTGGAGTGTAAGTAATCGTTTATTTTATAGCACTTACATTTTTTTATAGTAAACACTAAATTTTATTAATTAGTTAATTGACTTTATTCTCAGCCTTTGAGATTGTTCAAATAGGTGTTGAAAACATTTTTCGCTGATAGTAAAACATGTAGTTTTTATATGGCAACACTTTCAACATTCAGTTTTATTTTAATAGCAATTTTTGTTGCTTCAATTAACTCTTAACTAAGCTAATTTTAAGTCGCGCTTACATTTAATCTAAAGTTGTTGAAAGCTGAACGATTTAGGTAAAATTGCTACCTCTAAAAGAAAACCATGTATCTTAAGAGTTGATCGCATCAAAATTTAGCGGAGTCGCGGGTATAACTGGCGTCCAGGGCAAAATTGACTTTGGCGCCTCCCATAAACCATATATACATAAATATACCATACAGGTTATGCACCTCTTGAAGTTCATTCGGCACATTCTATAGTTGTTGCTTAAGGCGCAATATATGCCAATCCGGAACTTGTTACAAATTTAATTAATTTTATAGTTTTTATTTAATTGTTTTTGTAGTCAATACTTAAAATTAAAGGAAACAATTCAGTCGTTGTTAGAAAATTATTAATATAATTTTTAATAATTCCGTTCATATTTTTAGTTGACCTATTTGATACTTAATTAAATTTTTTTTAAGGTTTCTCATGTTCAATTAATACTAAAATTTTCATTGCATTATAAATGAGAATCATTATAAATGTTGAGTATTTTAAGTATGATGTTGTAATATATGCTGCACTTAGCCCTTAGCAAAAATTACATAATAATATTAATAATATTTTTATAGATCTTTTAAGCTGAATACCGCATTTTGAAGAAAAATATTTTTATGTTCAACTTCAAAACGTTAATTTATTATGTTAAGGTATATCGACGCTATCAACACTATCATCATAAATTATTCTTATGAATTTGAATAGTTTTGTTTATAATAAATAAAAAATGGTATTTAAATAACTACTACTACTACCACTACTACTCCTATTAGTATAATATATGTAACCACAATCATTAATTATATTGATGTAATAATTAAAACTATATAAAATTGCAGTGTAATATAGGATGTATATAATGGATTATTATCAAATAAAAAGTTCTGTAATTGAAATAGTTGTAATACTATAATCCCACTGCAGCTAAATTAACTTATATTAATCAAATTAAGTTTTTGTCGTTTCCATTAGCTTAAGTTAATTTATGCATGTGAAAGAGGTTTTTTGTATCAGAAAGTTTTGTAATAGTTTTAGAAGAGCTATTGTCTGGTTACATTTCAGTTGATATCCAATTAAAGTGAATGATTTTTATTAAATGATATATGATATTGTATAATGAACTTATTTATATATTTTTATATCTCACTTATATATTTTATTTATAAATAAAAAATAAAACATTTTAAAAAATTCTTACCTCTATGAAGGCAATGGGAACATACGAGTACCATATCCCATCTATCACTAAATTTGAAGATTATTAATGATTGGTTTCAGTGGCTGCACATACCTTTCCGCGTCATATAATTATCCATTATTTGTTGTATTAATAAGACATTTTTCGTAAGAAATCTAGCTTGATGTTAACAGATTCATCAGATGTCTTGTTTTTACCAACAATCAATTCTACAAACTATAGAGGAAGTACATTCTATGGTGGTACATGTTCGTTCTGGTAGTCAAAATTGAGTAATCGCGGGGAAAATGTTAGAATATAACTCATAAGTAGATAGAAACGATTGTGAATTTTTATTGTGGATAATATATATAAATAATAATGAGGATTAAAATGGTTTTAGTTTTTGACAATTTAGTTCTTTATATGTAGCTTCTTGATACAAAAACAGTCAATCTCGAAACTATTTAGCAAATTCAGCTGAAATTAGCTGACTAAACTAGCATTTATAGGTATATATTTAATTCCCTTCGAAAGATTGCATCAAAATCTTTAAAAGTAATCAAGGTATTTTTATTTGTCAGTACTATCCAAATATTTCTACATTTAACATACTTATAAAATGCAGTTTTTTGCTTCATTTTAAAATTAAGAAAAAAAAATTTAACCTAAATTCTCACTTTTGCTTTTAAAGTTAATTATTTTAAAAACTTAAACTTTTTCAGCTTTTGCAGTAATTGTCACATTTAATGCATGAACTAAATTGATTAAACTAAATCTCAATTCAATCCAAGGATACTAATTGCTCACTAATTATGTTCATTTTCTGGTGAACATAATAAAGCCTAACAATTAATTCACAGTTAGGCTAATTGAAAATTCGTTCTACGTTCATTGTATAAGGCAATTCTTAATTGTAAATTAAGTGATTTTCAACTGAATGGATTATAATATGAAGCCAAAAGTTTTGTTTTTATATTGATGGCATTATTGAACTTTCAAAAAGAGTTTGGCTAAGAGGCCTTCGAAAATTTCTGAAAAGATCTTAATTAAATTATAAGTACCAAATTGAATTATTCTTAAGGCAAATCATTATGGACGATGAAAAATGGATTAATTCTTATAATATCCACAAATCGATTACTCTCTACAAATGACTACCAAGTCTGTATTAAAGGGAAATAGAGTCATGTTAAGTGTTTAGTGGAATAGAAAGGGTATTGTCTATTACGAACTGCTTCACTATAGTGAACTGTTAATTATATTTTCTACTGGTGACGAGCACATTATTCACATCTATCACATATCTGATGACTCGGAACAAATTAACGGATATCGATTGAGAAATTTTAAGCAACTTTTGGGTATTTTAAATGTCAACAATGCTGAACTCTACAAAACTTTCTGCTATCTCTGCAGAGTCAAAATATTCTGTGTATTCTATCTCTACAAAACTCTTTTAATAGTTGAAAGTTAACTGACCGAAGAGCAGCTGAAAACCATTGAGCCAAAATTACGAATTTTTACACCGTTGGAATTATGAAACTATCCGAGAAATTAAAAGACAACATAAATGATAATGGTCAATATTTGTACTTATACTTGACTTTTTTACACAAATATAGCAAAAACCACGAATACTTTTGATTTCCCACTATAGTTCAAGCATGCTTAATTTATATCTAGATACTAGATAAATACAGATAAATATATTAAGGTAGTTACCGTTTTATAGATCTCTGTTTTAATCTAAAATAAGTTCTCCTCTCGTTGATGTGCCCATTAAATCTTAGCTTGATATTCTGCGTTATACTCACTTATTTTATAATGTTGGTACTAAGGAATTTGAAGTGAAGAGAATACTATGATTTATATTTGAATATTATTAAAATTTCATTTTTGATGTAATCGATTTTTCAATCTTTTTTATATAAATATTATATTTTTTATAAAATTTGATTTTAATCTAAGTTATGATGACAGTGACTATCTTACATTATCTGTCAAATTATATAAAATAGCTGTTAATTTTAGATTAAAATAACTAGAGTGTTTTAAATTAATCCCGAGTGTTATACATTTTACCCTAGATTGACCAATCAAAAGTGAAAATAGCGCTAAAAGTACATTAAAGTTCATGTCGATTAAAAAAAATGAGCCCCAATTTACCCCAGAGGTTTCGAATAGTAGTGAATTATAGCAACAAAAATTTATTTGTAATTAATTGTGTTTTTAGCTGACCATATACCTATTTCGTGTATTGCCAAATACCCATTTTCAGTGGTCTTGGAATTACTTTTTAATTAATTTAATTATTTAATTATTCGAGGAAATTTTTTGGATGTATAAATCTACACAAATAAAAAGTATTGAAATTTCTTATGCATTGTATATTGCATATGATAAATAATTTTTATTTAACTTACAAATTAAAATACTTGTAAAAATCATATTAAATTTAACAAAGTTTCATATTAATATTAATTTATATTTATTTTTAAAAATTTGAAAATTTATGTCTGCTTAAAAGTTAATTAGTATAGTTATTACTATAGTTATTACCATAGATAAATTAATACTACAAACGTGTTTTTGAATTTGGTTAGTTCAAGTAATTATTTGTTTTATCTCAAAACACTTATATTTAAAACTTTTTAAATGAATCTTTCTGGAATTTTAAGCCACAACATAATTTTTTTTAACTACTTAAAAAATGTTTTAACTAATAGTAATCATAATAATGATTGAGATTGTTTTCATTAGCCAGAATCATATGCAGATTCACAAGTCAAAGCCAAGTCGGACTCGTATTACGTGATTCAAAATACGTGAATCTTGTTAAGCAAATCGGAGATTTTCAGCCTCATAACTTTGGGTTCAACGTCAAAAACGATGCTGTAACAAACACCAAACAAGCTGTGAACACAAAAGTTAATAAATGCAAAAATTTATTTGTTCTACAAGAAGTTTGACGCGAACACACGCTCTCCATAATGTGCCACGGCATAACTCAGGCCCCGGACGTCGACCAGCGAATTACACAATTTACCGCCAATACTGCGGCTTGGTTTACGAGATAGTCTTCATGTGGTGCGACGCCGATGCAGCGTACCAAAATGCAAATCAGTTGCACATTTTATGCGCTCAGATGTGCATTGTTTGGATTGCCAGCGTTTTTTGTTGCTTCTACATGTAAAAATTGCTGATTTGTGGGTTTTCTTAAAAAGTTCGAAAAATGTTTATTTATTTTATGTTTGCTGTTTTCTCGATATTGGGAATGTCAAAACGCTTTACAATATGTAAACAAAGCTTTTGTCAAAATTGTGCCGCAGCAGTAAGTTTTATGTGAAGTTGAAAACCGTCAAGTGTTTTGACTTAGTTTTATTTTTTTTTTTATTTGCCGTGTTTTTCTCAAATGTCTGTCATTTGCTTGATGACTTGCAAATGTGGAGCATTTAAATGTCATTGCTGTTCTTAAAATTTCAGTTACTTTGGCCATCAGGTGGCAAAAAAAAAACTAATTTGCATTTAGTTTTTATTGCCTTATATAGTGCAGAATTTCGTTAAAACCTCTGCTCAAATTAGATACAAAAATAAACAAATCAGTTTTGACCTCCACACTCGAATGGCGCAAAAGATGCCAATCGTGAGGTTTTACTGGGCTGGCACAGTTAATTCTTCTTCTGTTTTACAAGTTCAGTATAAATTTAACAACAAACAAATAAATTATTTAATGAATTTAATTTTGCAATTATGATTAGGGGCCTTGGCTATTGCACTTTAAAGCAAAAATATTTAATAAAAATTCGTATTGATTTTAAAACCTTAAACCTTTAACTTTAAAGCCAATTAAATATTAAAAAATTCCCCGTTGCCTTTCATATACTAACGAATATGAAATACTTTTATCTATTATTTTAAGTAGCAATTTTTATCTGAATAATTAATATGAATTTTAAGTGAAATACTTTGTTTTCATATATAACTTACTTTCGTTGTCAAAATCTGAACGGGATTTACAGGATTTTCTGCTTTAAACTGAGTGCGAGTGTCTTTACTGCATTTTTATGTAAAGAGATATGCGTAAGACGAGTAGCTCTTGTGTTGCAAGTAAAACTGAATTTAAATAAAAAATTTAAAAAAAAATATCTAATATCTGCGTAGCAACATAAAATTAAATTTAAACTAACATTTTTCTATATGTTCCCCCACATATATTTCAGGTACATTTACATATCTTTATTGCTTATGCAAGATACATTTTCTGAGTGTGTATATTTTTTAAATGCCACCAAATAATGTTGTCACGTAAGGATAAATTTACTTCGCATACAAATTCCATTGCGTAGTTCAGTCTATTAAAATTATTCAAGTGAAAAAAACGAGATTGAGCCTATAAGCCAAATTCAATAGATATGATATATAAAACATTGTGAATATCAAAGTTTTGAATTTCGATAGTAAACACATTTAAGTTAGGTTAGTTTAATGTTACTAGTCATAAGTCTTATATAGACGTATTGCTTCACAGCAGTATCAGATATAGCTAAACAGCCTATTGGTATAATATAGGCTATCAATAATTTGTTACGAAGTGCTTAAAGTTTTATTCTTGACACCAAAAACGTTTTGCACAAACGATTTTTTAAAGCTCTCTGGGACCAGACTAGAGTGGTGTTTAAACCCAGAGCTTGTTATCTGTAGAACCAGATTTAAATGAGATTTAAACTCAGAATCTGTACTCTGTAGTTCCAGCAAACACGCATCATGCTATCAGAGAATTATTAATATATTTAAAAACACATACAAGCTTAGCTTAAGAATTCACTTGATTAAAAATTATATTATTGAATTTTAAAATATTTTCATTGCTATCACATTTCATATTGTAGTATTATAAAAACAATAAATAAGTCAACTGTTCTGAACTTTAAAGTTATTTTTAACATAAATCATATCCATAGGATTCAAAAAAATCAGTACCATCTATTCTAGTAAAGTACTATTCTACGTTTTCTATCTAAACATCAGCTTCGTTCGTGTATATTTTAACATATAAAATCTTCAATAAAGATTTTAATCGCAGTTTCTTTTAGCAGCTTTTCCGTGTCGACCCCTTAGCTGTTGGGGGGTAGACTATCAACATGTGTAATTTCGGTATTTTGTCCCCGACACACGTGGTGAGTTCAGCGCCTTCCCATCCGTTCAGCTTAGGTGCCGTTCCATGGATAAAATTAGCCGCATCCTCGTCTACGCAGTCAACCAGTATAAGTCCTGGTCGAAAGTGTATCCCGCTAAATCGTAGCTTGGTATCGCAGCCTTTATACATCTCCTCAATGAGAAGTTCCTCGATTTTACCTTGCTCCTCCCTAGAGAGAGTTGATTCCGGGTAAGATTTCGGAAGAATTGCTATTCTTAAGCTCTTGGCTACATTAGCGTAACTGCTGCCCGATATTATTTTTCTCGGTTATTTTGGTGCAGCCATTTGCGTACCATCCTTTGCTTGTGGAGGTTTCTCATTCCCTCTTCTTTTCTTAGCTGATTGAAGATCGATCGGACTAATTTCTTGGGCAGACCTCTTCTTAGAGTCTTGATTGCCCCTCGGCCGATTGAGCGCCTTTTCCTTGGCTGCCTCCGGTGCTAAGCCTTCTTTGAGATAGCGCAGCTTCTTTGCCCTCAGTACATTTTTCCGCTTTCCGTTTTGGAAAGGCTGCCTGGCGATCGGTATGTTGGATATCAGGCTCCGACCGATTTACCAGTTTATTTGCAGTGTGTGCTCCTGCTGGTTTTTTTATATTGCTATTATTGTTATTTGAATTATGTTCCATTAAATTCCCACGAGTGTGGGGGAAAGGAGATCCGCCGTGTCATAGCCCCCGATAACACGGTAAGCCCACAGTTACTCAATGAGGCGGGCAGGTATCATTGAGGTGCGACGCTAAAATACAGTCTGTTTCCCCCGACTGCAAACAAGTCCGATGAACACGTGCAAATTCCGGATTGGGGAGGAAAATGGAGGCGGAGAGGGATATATATAATATATTTGTTACCGTATTTTAATTCTCATTTGGTTAAGTTGTACTCCTAAGACTTTCCACATTTGTACAAATTACCACTTATTGTTCATATCGAAGAAGTTCTGTATTGTTTTAATATTTAACTGTTAATAGTAATATTTAGTAATATTCTTTAATTTGTTTTGTTTTCTTAAATATTTCACAACTTAATTTGAGCATGTAATATAACACCAAATGAAGCATTTCCATACTTGTAATAACGAAGTTAAATCATATCACTTACAACATTTAATTAAATCACCTGAAACATTCAATTTAGCAACAATTCACATTCGTGCAGAGAAGAAACCAAACGAGATTGGCTTTAAGTTGTCTGCACTGAAGCCAAAAAGGTTTTTTCGATCGAATTAAATGAAAAATTTCCTAAAATGTAAGATTGTTGCAACTCGCAAAACGCGTCGCGTGTTAAGGCCATCATCTAAACCACGTGACGATATACTCACTAGTCCGGAGTCCGGGGTCCGGGGTCCGGACGGGTACATATGTGTACAAACGTAAATTGATAATAATTGTAATATTAAGTAATTACAATAAAAACTGGTGCATTTTTGCGTAGACAACAAATTTTGCTGTTAACTAAACGGAGCTGAACTCCGTCCAATAAAAAAATGAAAAAAAGACTTGTCCGATCGTGTAGACAATTGCAGATACCAAGTTATTCAAAAATGTCGTAAATCAAACTCTATTTGTGCAATTTCTTTGTACAAGACAAACTCGTTGGAAGCACTTTTTGTTCAATCCCGAAAGCTTTTGTGGTCCAGTTTCGACTGGTCAATGCTGGAATTTCTAATACGAAATCAAAACCATTTAAAGGAAAAAACTTGCACCATTTTTTTAAGTTCAATGTGCGGATTACAATGCAATAGAAATGACGTTCGAATGTGCAATGACAGGTGTTATTGTTGTTAGCCGGCTAATGCCCCAGTGATGATAATGCACTACAGCTGATAACAATCTCAAATCGCACGAGTTGGCTGAGAAATTGTTAGAAAGTTTGTTGGCAACTAAAGAAAGTATGAGAAACTGAGTTTTTCTATAAAAAGAACTTAATTATTGTATATAAAATTATAAGTCAATAACATATAATAATAGTTATTAAATGTACAATAAATTTTTTGCAATAAATATTTATTTTCATTTAGCTTGTGACATACATATCATACACAACAATATACAGTATTTAACAAATTTATTTGTTAAATAAAATTAAAAACTAAATTAAATTAAAAACAAATTTATATTAATTACATTATTAACAATATCAGTTTATTATCCTTTAATCATATTCAGCTCCAATCGTTAGACTTACTTGACCCGGTTGTACAAATGTTTGATGATACCATTTATTGGTATCCAGCACAACTAGTTTGTTGATATGTAATGAAATCACATTTCCAACAAATATATATTTATTTACAAAATATACTTACTTATGTCCCCCTTATTAACTACTACATCCATTTGTTTGCACTTAAAATAACATTCTGGAGGCGGTGCTAATACCCAACGTTTGCTACCGCTCAGTTGCGCTTGCCAGGATGGCAGATGTACATTATCTATCTAAAATTCAAAAAAAATTACAATAAATTAGTAATAATACATACATTAATTTTAATATACATTAACATTAATATTACATATTAGAACGAACGAATGAACCACAGCTATAAATAACTTAATTAAATATTATTGTTTTGCGAATTTTAACTTTAGATTTAAGTCTGTAAAAATTCTACTCTTAGTCCATGCTTATAACTAGGAATTCATAATAATTTCATATAAAGCTCCTGTGAAATAGCCTCCATAATCGTGTGATCTCACAACTCTGTATTATTTTCTAAGGGTACATGTGAACTTACTGTTCCGCACAGGTTAATAGAGACCTTTGATCACTTCAAAATGATCACTTGCAAAGTTATAGTCTCAGCTCGTTGAAAACTGGCTTTTCGTTCGATCCAATTATAGTTCATATATTAATAGCATATAATATTATTTTTAATAAAGACACTTTCAGTTAATTTGACAAGTTTCTAGACACATATTTACGAATGTATATGTTTATTATAAATTAATAATTAACTTACATGCATATGCGCTCCGAGTCCACTAGTTCCTATAAAAAACCAATCAACGGCATTGTTTTCTGAAGCAGCAGGCAAGAAATATGGACGTCCATAATGTTTCCGGAATTCTTCAGCTGTATCAGGATTGCAATTACTCCAACCAAAATACCAGGGGGTAGTACCCCTTTGTAATGCAACTCGTTCCTCCGACATATCCAATGCTTGTAGAATATTTTTAAAACCAGTCTTATATGGCAAAAATTGGCAATCTAATATTTTTTGTTTACGCTTGGAATTTTGATAGACATCACGAAAATACCAATAATCAAATTTCTGGAAAAATAAAAGCAATCTACAGAAACTATCTGTATAAGATCTCAAAAAAATATTTTAAAATTTGATCAATTTATGTCTACTGCTCTTTGCGTTCCATTGTGTCATGAAGGATCAAAAATGAACTTGTGATTAGCAATAATATAACAGAATATAAAAGGAACACATTTTTGAGTATAATCAAAATTAAAAGGATTTGAAAAATCTGTAGAAATTTAGCGTTTTTCTCAAAGCTTCAATAGATCAAAGTGTTTCAGTAATGTAACATTGATTAACGGGATTATGACAAATCAAAAATTAACTACATTAGGTATTAAGTGTATAGAAACTAATATATTAGGTATTAGAAACTAATGCTCTGTATGAAGTAAAAACTATGGAGAACGGTGGTTTCAAATGTGCAAATTAATTTGATAAAATTAATCAAGCTACCTAAGTGGTATTCATTTATTAAAGTGGATACCAAGTAAACTGTATGAGAAATCTCTAGCGTACTATATAAGAGCGAACTAGGATAATATAAATGTTTTATGGATAATAATTCCAAAGCTTCAAAAATTTTATATACTCATTTTATTCAAATTTATTGGTCCATACATAATTATTATATTATTAATTTGAGATGTTTAGTAATAGTTTTGTTTCGATTTAATAAAATGTTGAATAAGGTATGGTATATATACTATATATTATATAGTATATAATATATACTTTAATAAAAAAAGTTTTTTTTTGTTTGTTCAAACTATGTTAAGGCAATTCAATTCATTCAGACTTGGGAGATAGTTTTATGCAATTTGTATTATTTTGATTTTAGTATTGATAATTTATTTACATTACGCAAGATAAACCAAGAATATGAGAAATAAGATTATTTCATGCATATATATGCAATACATGTTAATATTCATATATATAATATAGTTTTTTCAAAACAATTTACTCACAGTTAGTGCGGTCCAGTTTTGTGTAGCGTCTTCCACAATGACAGGAGTGGCGGAATATGCGTACTGACTCTCAAACTCATTACTGGTGATAGTACGCACTCTTGCCACTTTGGAGATATTCTCACAGAAATCGCACTTTTCAGCCGGCCGAAAAGCGTAGCGCAATTGACGGGGCAAATCTAAAAGGCAGCGCTACAAATTTTTTTAAAATATTAAAATTTAGAAAATACGCGATTCGCTTTATATTTTAATAAAATTAATTAAAAACTAATTATAAAGAAAATTATTTATTTTTTCCATCTTTCTTATTTATTAAATTTTATTTAATTAAATCGCATATTACCTTCGTTTGCAATTCACTATAGTAAAAATTAATTGAATAAAATATTAGACAAATTATTATTAATATTTTTATTATTTTTTTACTTTTACTATTGTAATTTTTCTGATTATTTTTCAAAAAATTTTCCACGCTTTTCACTTGTAATTCACAGATTCTTTCACTCTTGCATTTTTCAATGACTTTTTGCAACTGTTGCTTTGCCGAGGTTATGCCCTCATTTTCCATTTTCTTGGCAATTCTTACTTGCACTGGTACACGACTAGTCTCTTATGGGTCTCCAAAGTAACTGCTTCATCGTACGGTTGCGAGCTAAGTACTTAGCTGCGCTTGTTGCGATTTCCTTTAGATTGCCAGCTTTTATACTTCATCCTGTGAATTGTTAATAATTTGATTATCGGCGTGTAGTCAAGCTTTGACGCAAATCTTATTATGTGGGCGCACATTTCCGCCAAGAACATACCAATTTGGAGTGGCATTGTTCGTGTGGTCACATGTGATAAGCGCAAAATTGATTGCTATCCATAGAAAAATTGCTTCAAGCGCTTAATAAAATTATATTTTTAACATGTATCTTCTTTTGTGCACAAGTGTTTCACTGGAAAGTTGTCATAAAAATAGAAAGTGAAATTTGTTGCTATTGAAATGTATGGAAGCACTTATTTTCATGGCACAAAATTAATTTGAAATTTAATTTTTGTAGTTTAAGCTATTTCAGTAAAGTTATATTATGGAACTATTTCAGTTTCATAATATATTTTTAGTCCCAAACTTTTAATTTTGGAACTAAAAATTATAAAATAAAATTTAAATGGAGATTTCATATTATTGTCATTAGCAGGAACAACGATTATAAATTATATTATATGCACATTATTATTATTATAATTATATTATTAATATATTTCTGAGTATAAAGGATTTAAGGCTGCTAAATTTTATATAATATATATCGTGTGAAATCATACATCAATAATATAATAATATATTAATATTACATTGAGGTAGACAGGTTTCGAACAGTAGTGAATTACAACAACAAAGTGCTTATTATTTTAATTAATTACATTTTTGGCTGACCATACAGTTGTTTCGAGTAAAATCGTTGAAACTGTCTACGATTAAATTGTCATTATAACTGATTTTCATCAAGTTTAATATTTAAATTGAAAGTAATCATTCAAAAAAACTATTTTATAGATAAATATAAATCAAGCATTAAAATTATATATATTTTTTTACTTTCAGGAGGCCATATACAGGAGATAATACTTGTATTACTTACGATGCAGTAAATGCAGCCTATCTAGATGCGAGAAAAAGAATTCGTAAGTATGCCTTTGAACCTTTCTGAAAAATATTTAAAAAAAGAAATAATGATACATATCGACATGTGAATAGTACTAACTCTTCAGCAAAGTCAAAGATACTTTTTTATGAAATCACATTGAAACTTTAATACTAAAATACTATTGTTTAATAAATTTTTGAAGTCAAAATCTGCTATATTACATATAATATTTCATGTTATATAATATTATATAATATATATAATAATATATATATTATGTATAGTATTGTATACTATGTAGACTATGAATATTGCGTATTAATATTTTGATTAAAATATTATGACTAAACCGAATAACTATGTATTGCTATATAATCTTCCAGATTGATAATTACTTGATTATATCAAAATTGAAATTTTGAAATAAATCTCAATATACAACTTAACAGTTTTTTTTATAAAATTCCAATAATGATATTTTCAGATGTTTCGCAGCCAAAAGGAGATTGGAAGGCAGATGACTTAGCCACTGTTGGTGAACTAATACTCGATATTTCGATACAATTAGCGAGAACGTAAGTCATAATTCCAATCCAATATTTTTTATTATTTTTTAACTTTTATTGTTATAATTATTTTTATTTTACTTCATTGTTAATCTTAATCAAAACATCAAAAATAAATTATTTAATCTCTAGACTTTAATGCTATTGCAAGTGGGAAGGGTATAATTTAATGGCTTAATGCTTTAAGCCAAACCTACAATTTTTATAAAATAATAGCAAAAAATTGCTTACAAATTGCTTTGAATGATGGAGGAAAAGGCCTATAGACACGAGCGTCAAATTAAGAATTTTGGTTGCATTTAAAAAAAATACAATTAAAAAAAAATTTTGAAAAAATTTATATCTATCAATCACCGCACGATACACACAAAATTATGTTGTTTGCATGGTTTTCTTACATATGCATTATTAATGAAAAATTCATAAACAAATTGTTTAAAATAAAATGCACGTTTCTTGCAACATGTTGCCAGGCATAACTTCAAAGACACAGAAAAATATTTCTGATGTTTTGCAACGCATGGAAGGAGTTGCTTATACTAATTTCTTTATAAATTTTTAAAAGCAAAGCATAAGCATTGCAGTATTCATTAAAATGACATTAATATTAATTTCAAAGCATCTATTAGTATATTTGCGATATAACTATAATAAAGATCTTAGAGATATTTCGTTATCCTATTATAGACGTCTTTAACTTCAGCTATTATTTGTAGATTTTACGTAAATAGTTGTTGCATGACGAAGATGGAGTTGTTTTTGGAACTGAGATGAACTTTATAATTTAAATGAAGACATCTAAGTCATTTGCAGTCTCCAATTCTGAAATAAGTAATTATACATTTTTTGTAATTAAGATTCATGTCTTGTAAAATATCCGTAATCGTACAAAAGAATGTACAATTTAAAAGCACAAACTTGGAAATTATTTAGTTAGACATATTGATTTTAAAACTTTAAAACATAATGTTTCAATATTTCAATTTTGAATTATTTTAACATAACTATTTCGAATAATTGACGTGTTAATTATAGTACACATACGCTATATTAGGCTGGAGTGGTGACCTTGTACAGCAAAGCCCACTTAAACTCAAATAATTGTTCGTGCTAATACTACGAATTGAAGTTGTAGAGAATAATCTCTAAAAAGACAGCACTGGGTGCAGATGCAAATAACGCTGAAATGTACGATTCCCTAATTCAATTCAAAGTGAACCAACTAGTTAAGTCTATAAGGTTAAGTCCCCAGTTTCATAGAATAACAGCATTATCAACTCTATATAGGCATATATAGCTGAAAAAAAGGTGAACACAGATTTGTCTTGCTATTTAAAGCCACAACCATGATAAAAATTATTAGTTTGGTACAGTGGTTTCCACAATCACTAGATGCCAACTTGCTGGATTTCGTGGTCTGGGTCAGCAATAAAAATATCAGAGTACTTATGTTGAGCATATAAACTTCTCTTTTTGAATTCTTGAAGATTCATTAATTCTTGCAAAATTAATTCTTGTGAGTTTTTTCTTATTTAGAATCGAAATCTTTCTCTGTCGATTCTAATTAAGAATCGATATCGTCAAACTGTCCTGCTTTTTAACAAGTCAGAGTGATTCTGGCAAAGCTGTGAGTACTGGTAATATAATTCTTTTATTTAGTAGTAGATCTTATGGTAACGTAACTGAAATCTATAGTTCACACTTAAGGCAGCATTTTTGTAGTTTTAAATAAATAAGAAAAATGTATAATTATGTTAAAGCTATTTGAGCCAGTGCACTTGAGCACACTTACTCTTACTTAACATGAGGTATTTTCAAAACCCCTCTTTACGCCTTGTATATGTTATCAACATATTTTTTATGTTGTCTCAATATTAATTACACATTTTTGGAAATTTCCAGCAGAAAGACGTCTTATAATATAACGAACGTATTCATTGAAAATTATAAGTAGCTGCTTTTTAAAACTAAGATGCACCACAGTTAATTAAAAAACAACTATCATATAGGTATTTGAATATATAGTTAAGTCTGGACACTGGTATTGCAATCGTTCAGGTGTATCATCCTCATGCATTTACAACAATAATCTCGCTTTTAAAAATTTAAAACTATTTTTTTTTCTATATATATATTTTCTATATATTTTCTATATATTTTCTGTATTATATATTTCATAACATGAACTATAATTAATTGTAAATAATTATATTTTTATATGTCAGCTTACTTCTCTGTTTTCCCAAATACAAAAAATCATGTATCAATATTTTATTGAACACCTCCAACTGCGTTAAAAAATGAAATTAATTTATGAAAAAAGTTCAAAGTTTGGATCATTATCAGTTGTTTTTTTCCTGTTCACCTGCTTGACAATGTATTGCACAATGTAACACAGAAGGTGAGTCGAATTACACTGAACACAAAAAAGTTCATTAACCAATGCAACACAACTTGAAAAATATCTTTGTTGCAAGAAAATCATGTGATGTTGCTCACAATTGAAAGCTATGTAATATGAGATATCATGAAATGCAACCCTCAAGATTTTATGTAAAACCAAAATTAAGCCAAAAAAAAAATCGAAAAAAAACAAAAATTGCAAGCCCAAACCGCATCTGCAGTTTGTAAACAAAGATTTTCTTATGCAACCTTAAAAGATACGAATGTGCTACCTTCAAGTAGAATGTATTATTGAGACTTGAGAAATCTTGTAAGAATAACATATATTACATTTACTAAAAATAGTCAAAAATTAAGTTAAGAAAAAAAATTATTATCATTCTAAGATTCTTATATATAGTTAGGTTTTCCTGAGTTGTGATTTGCAACAACAAAATTTTATTATTTTTATTAACTGAATTTTTGGCTCACCATACAGTTGCTTTGATTATTGTCAAATTCCCATCATCAGTGGTCTTTTTGGAGATATTTCTTACATATAATTATATATAACTAATTTTTAGAGACTGCAAGTATTGATCTCTACCTCAGAGGTAGAGATCAGTTCTTATATATATGGATATGGTCGATAATGGGGAGAATTTGCTTGTACTTTTCTTGTAAAAACATCATATGAGTAATTAAAGCAATTACTTAAAAATGTGCAGTTGTAATGAAAGTAGTTTTAAGGGGCGGAGATAAGGGTTGGATGTGTTTTGTGAAAACATAATATATAAAAACACAGGTTGTACCTCATACAAAATTATGGATTATATGTTTAGTTCTAACATAACTATATCTCATTCACTTAACAAATATCACTTTTATTTCAAAATATTTTCAAATGTAGTGCACTTGAGAAGTCGGTATGGTATGCTTAAAGCATCTGCAGTAAAAAATTGTGAACATTTCCTTTCTTTAAATATTTGGAAAAAAGTAGGTGACTGAGATGCAAACATCTTAGCTCAAAGAGGAGCTTAGTTTGTGGTCGTCAGTATGTATATATATGTATTTATATATATATTTAGTCTTGCAGTGGATTAATCTACTGGCTTGTATGTAAGTTTGTCATCTTAGTCGCTGCCAGCTGTACTTTCACTTACACGCAGCCAAGTATCTATAGTTGCAGTTGCTTTGTTCGTGTTCATTTCAAATTGCATTCAAATCAAATAAAATATAAAATAAAATAAAATAAAATAAAATAAATGTGATAAAAAAAATATAAAATGAAATAAAATTATTACACGTACAACTAATTATGTTTTTATCTTTTTTTGCATAATTTCTTTTTATTGAAAACGAAGATGCAACTGTGGTTCGAGTTATCAAAACTGGATGCGACATGCACAACATGCGGTTAAATGGTTTTTATATAATCTGAGATTATTGAGATAAATCACATTAGCACGTCTTGCATTGATTTTGATAGATTAAAATTGTTTTCGGTAGACAAATTTTTATGCTGTTTCATGAGTATAACAAAGATTTATGAAGGATGTTTCGTTGTTTAACATTTATTGATTTTTTATATTTTCATAAATATTTAGATATAATTTTCTTCTTCTTTACTATATGAGTTTAAAGATTTGCAAATTTAGAGATATTTTGAATAAATTTTATGAAGCTTAATGAATTGAGATTTGTATTATTAGTTAATGTGCTGGAAATGTGGTATATTTATATTATTTATATATATATATATACATATATATTTTTTTTATAAATTAATTTTAATTATTTACTCAACAACTTCTGAGGTTACTTAGAATTGAGAATTCCATGTTCTTTGGCGGTTCAAGTCATTGTTCAGAGATTAATATCGAAATCGTGAAAATTAGGAAACAGTGTTGGTCACGTGCTGCAGTTTTTGAGTTGAATAATTGTCAAGCATTTAATTTAATTACAAAATTAATTTACTTCAGAATTGTGAAAATTACAAATTGCAGTAATTTAAAGAAAACAAATTATTGATACATAAATCTTGAAAACAAAAAAAAAAAATAAAATTACTTGGTTAATTTGTTACTTAACAACATTTAAGAGATTTACATTCAAGTTAAAAGAAATAATTAATCATCTCTAGAACGCGACACTCAACTGTTGAAGTGTATGTTAGATTTAAATAATTTGAAGCTATTAAAAATAGTTATAATATATATTGATGGCTTAGTTAAATTTATGCTTTTAGAGACTTACAATTTAAAACGCATCAAGGATTGCATAAAACAAATAAAGAATAATCGAAAAATTATAACGGAACTAGTAACCAGTTACTGTAGACTGAATAATCACCTAACAAAGTTAAAAATCCAATCTAACTCAGACTGCAGATACTGTTAAGATGAAATACTGTTGAGTGCCGGGCACTGATGCACAAGAAACATAGGGATTCAAGACCAGGAAAGATAGGCTTTATACTGTTTTTTATTAAACAAATCGGACTTAGAGAAACACACTAATCCAACTAAGGGGCACAATAGATCTTTTAGGACGCAGTGTAATATCCCTTTTTTATAATAATAATGTACGAAATCATAAATCAAATATTCGATATATACACATTTCCT